TCAAGTGCAGTCTATCCAGGATACATGTTAATAGGGTTCTTGAAGTTCTACACCAAACCTTTCAGTTCAAAATAATCATGGAGTCAAGTCCAGTCTATCCAGGATACATGTTTATAGGGTTCTTGAGGTTCTACACCGAACCTTACAGTTCAAAACAATCATGGAGTCAAGTCCAGTCCAAGGATGTAATGCAAGGAAAGTTATTTCAGAAGTGTACACATCTTTTGTACTGCAGTGTACTGTCTCTGGGCGGTAATGTAAACACAAGACGGATGTCAAAGCCTGACATGGGATCCATCTTTCACATAAAAAAGTCAATGAAATATTCTGGTAATATGAAAACTATTATGTGAATTATTAAAATTATCAAAATTTAATGCTTTTAACCTCCTCGGATACTAGACGAACACTGATGCATCTATTCTTGTTTAAAGAGAGAACTGGTTTCAATGTGTACGCAGAGTATACACGACCGCAATTAACTTTCCTTGCATTATAACCTTGGTCCAGTCTACCCAGGATATTTGTTTATAGGGTTCTTGAGGTTCTACACCGAACCTAACAGTTCAAAACAATCATGGAGTCAAGTCCAGTCTATCCAGGATACATGTTTATAGGGTTCTTGCGGTTCTACACCGAACCTAACAGTTCAAAACAATCATGGAGTCAAGTCCAGTCTATCCAGGATATTTGTTTATAGGATTCTTGAGGTTCTACACCGAACCTAACAGTTCAAAACAATCATGGAGTCAAGTCCAGTCTATCCAGGATACATGTTTATAGGGTTCTTGAGGTTCTACACCGAACCTTACAGTTCAAAACAGGCATGAAGTCAAGTCCAGTCTATCCAGGATATTTGTTTATAGGGTTCTTGGTGTTCTACACCGAACCTTACAGTTCAAAACAGACATGGAGTTAGTTGTTTGAACAAACCTTTTTAAAGTCTTTTTAATATGCTTCTGTTTCCCATTTTTTCTCATTATGCTGTAAAAATGCTCTTGAAATTATGATTCTTCAAATAGTTTACACTTGACTTGTAAACCTGGCACCCGCACTGTGGAAGGACAATTTTACTTGACGAAAAATATGGAAAGCATGTTTTGTTTTCAAACTACTGTGACACATTTTCATGTTTGTATTTAATTCGTCCAAACCAGTACTGCACTTCTTGCAGGCTATGAAGTTTTTTTTCACTTTGAATCCAGTTTATCTATTCACTGTATCTTATCTCCTATAGTAGCATGCCATGGGAATCAATTTGCAGATTTAAAAAATTGTAAATTTATTGAGTTTGTGTTTATGAACAGAGGCGTATTTTGATATTTCAATGTTAGACAATGAGAACTAACAAGATTCATAGTTTCAAATATCTAAGATCTATGTAACATGGGGTTGCAAAAGTATAAGGATTAGAAAATTTTGAGTTTGTATCAAAAACTCAATTCATTTGTAGGACAAAACAGGCACTTTTAGTAAAAATAACAAATTCTGTTTTTACAAAGGGATTTTCGTATTAATGACAAATTCTGTTTTATAAAGAGACTTTTAGTAAAAATGACAAATTCTGAGATAAAAAGTACTCCATTATAATATTTCTAAAAAGTGTTTTATTACAAAAGAACACCGAATGTTTGTTTTAAAAAAAGTAGAGATTTCGTGAACTTCTAATACGTTGAGGTTTGGTGATTTTTGCAAACGACGAGGTTCCGTGAATATTATGATTTGTGGTTTTAAGAGGTATTGTGAAAATTATATTTCTTTTCTTGAAAATGCTTAGATACCTAAATTTAATTTTTAACCTAGCTAATTTTAAACAACTTATAAAAGTACAAACTGGGCACCTAAATTTCCACAGGGGATGATTCATTTGGTGTACAGTCCCGTTTTACTTAATTTGGCGTACCGTCCCGTTTCGGTGTTTGTACTGCACAGTGTACTGCTTGATTTTGGTTCTTGATCGTCGGCCCGGTACATGAATTGAACCGAAGTTTACATGGTGTGGGTTAGCCTCTTGATCAAACATGCATGCAGAACACTGTTAAAGGGACTGTAAGCGTAATTTCATGTGACCTTTAATGCAATCCCCGATTCAAAGAAGTATTCTTTAAAGCTTTGTCTGATCAAGTATATATATCAATGTTGATAATTTTAAAAACTGATTTTTGCTACACTAGAAACTGTATTTCTAGTGCAGAGGAAAGCACATAGGAATTATCAGAATTAAAGACTTCTAAGCCTGGAAAAACGGCAATATCTTTCACATTGCTGAAAAGATAAAGGTTTAAAGGATACCGATGTAAATCGGACACTGCCATCTTTGCACATGGAGGCGGGAGGGTCTCTTGAAAGTACGCTCATAGGCCCTTTAAACCTAAAAGTAAAAAACCTTAAGTGCTGTTGATGTCCTGGAAAACTTTAACGCGAGGTTGTTAGAATGATCTATACGGAAATCAACTTTTTTTCAAATTTAAATAATGATTTAAAAAGTTTATATTGAAAGGAAGACTGAGAACTAAGTTTGCACGAGGTTCCGTGATTATCTCTCTGTATGAGGTTGCGCGATTTTAAATGTTTTTTTGGTAACAAAATTCGCAAAATGCCAATTTGAAGCTTGATCACTTTGAAACTTGCGACCAGTCCCTTTTCAATGGACTGATCAAAAGATCCAATACTATTGACAATCTATCGTTCATGTTTTTATCCAATCTGTCTTTTTCTTGGCTTGGATCTTGTATTACTTCCTACAGTACTTGCCCCTCTTCAGATAAAGTTCGTGAAGTGTTGATTATCAGGATCTACAGGATCTAAAAGTACGAATTCAAAGTGAGGTCAAATATTTTCAAGTATTTTCAATCGGTTCATAATACTCCAAATCGGTTTCCAATCCCCGTCGTTTAATCTTAGTCTTTATAGCTAGACACAACCATCTTTTTATTTGACTAATTTTTAAGCCTCTTCTTTGGAAAATACATTAAACCCCCAGAATTAAATTTAAATCCTTCAATCGACGTGTTTTTGGAAAGATCTGCACATTGCTATGTACGTCTTTCTATTTTAATTTTCTTCTGTTCATATGATGTATATACTTGTCTACATTTTCTATAATTCTTTTTTACCTTTCTTTAACTTTTTCTACTTTAATATTTAGAAAGTTTTATTTTCAATGAGCATTTGCTAATTGGTTGATCGTCTATTTTTAAGTAATAAGATAAAAATGAATAAAATGCATGAATCAAGTGCATTATTCTGCAGATATTGATGCAAAATACAAATTTGCCAAATATCAGCACAATACAGTGCAGAAACAATGTAGTTGTGCGATGAAAAAATAGTATAACCCTTCAAGAAAATTCTGCGCAATTAAGAAAAAACAATACTATTATTCGTTCACGATGAAAACCTTAGAAGCACCACTTGAAGAAAAAACAGGTTTTTTGCGCATTATCTTTCTATTAATTAGTTTGCCAAGTTTTAGCAGAGTTTCATGAAGAAAATTTGAATTTAGAAATTGAAATTTGTAAATGGCGTATTTAAAATTTTAGTAAAATATAAATGCAGACATACAAATTTAAGATTTTGTACGCACAATATCTTTACTTCTTTTTATACAAAGAATTTAGGGCGCACTCTTTAACGTGCAATAATCTCAGATCGTGAGTTTTTTCGCATTTTTTATCTATCATTGTAAATCATAAAAAAATTTGCAAATTTTTTGTTTTGGTTGTGAAACTGTGAAGTGTTGAGAAAAAAAGTTCAAGTGCATAATGAACAGTTTTAATCCTCACCATTCAGAAGCGACCCAACCTTTAGGCATTTTTGAGTCAGACAAAACAAATAGAAAACGATTTATGTAAATATATTTAAGAATATATTCTATATATTTAAGGATTTATTATAAATTATTTAAAGATGTATTAATGTATAGAATCTACAATTGCTGTTTAATGCTTTTACAATCTTCAGGATACTTTTAAGGATTTTTCTGCAACCAGATGGTGGATTTCATGTTTTGAAATATGGAAAACTAGGCTTTTAAGGCGCTTCGGGCCCATCTTCTATTTCAGTTATGAACATATTCTCATTGTAACATTGTGAGTTTAAATGATATTAGATGATTATTATATCTTTCTTTAAATGTGTTTGTGTTCGTAAATTTAAATTTTTAATTTTTCTACTAGGTGAACATTGAAGAATCTTTTTAATGGTAAAATGTGCACAAAACTGTCTTTTTAACATGTTCTATTCATTATCTATCTATATATATACTATGATATTCCTGGACTTTCTTCCCCCTAAGTTGTTATTGAAAACAAGTATATTAGCTAATATTGAATCTTTTATTGAAAAATATCTCATATTCCAAGTTACCCTATATTTATTCAACCCTATCTGAACCTAATAAAAATCTACACAATAACATATACATTCAACAGTAACCTAGTTAACTTTCGACTAAGGATTTTTATACGATAATTCTATTTTTAGATAGATAGATAGATAGAGAAACAAAAATAATTTCTTCATTTTTCTCCACCTAAGATTTATATGGATTTCCTTATTGAACCGATGTAAAATTAAGAATATTTTTGGATAAAAATGTGACATCATATAGATATTTATGTAAGTCTTTAATAGATAATTAAAGATGGCATTGGAACCGCTATAGATTTGAATAATGATGTTATCAAGTTGTTGTGACATCCTGTAAATTGATCATTGTGCATTGAAAAAGTCAATTTTAAATCTTCACTTTTACCCAAAAAATACTGATGTACTGAACATATATAAAATCTTTGTTTTTCTTAAATTATACCTAAATCATGCATTGTCTAGTATTAAGTATCTAGTGTCCAGTTTAGTGGTTAATTGTTTACGATAAGAGGATAAAATGATAAACAAATAACAAACCATTGAAACAAAACATTATGCTAAACGGTTCATTAGGATAATAACTCCAGGCTAATATTGAACAAAGGCATGGGATTCGTTTTTCTTTTTGTCTACTTGATTCCTTGTCTTCTTGTCTCCTTGTCTCCTTGTCTCCTTGCAAACTTTATTCCTTGTCTTCTTGTCTCCTTGTCTTCTTGTCTTCTTGTCTCCTTGTCTCCTGTTCTCCTTGTCTCCTTGTCTCCTTGTCTCATTGTCTCCTGTTCTCCTTGTCTCCTTGTCTTCTTGTCTCCATGTCTCCATGTCTCCTTGTCTCCTTGTCTCCTTGTCTCCTTGTCTCCTTGTGTCCTGTTCTCCTTGTCTCCTTGTCTCCTTGTCTCAGTGTCTCCTGTTCTCCTTGTCTCCTTGTCTTCTTGTCTCCATGTCTCCTTGTCTCCTTGTCTCCTTGTCTCCTTGTCTCCTTGTCTCCTTGTCTCCTTGTCTCCTTGTCTCCTTGTCTCCTTGTCTCCTTGTCTCCTTGTCTCCTTGTCTCCGTGTCTCCTTGTCTCATTGTCTTGTTTTGTAAAGTATCTGTATAAGATTGATCAGATAACCGGATTTGACAACAGTTGTTTTAATCTAGAATTAATATTTCTAAATACTGTTCTCCTTGTGAGTCTGAGCTCCTCCTCCCCTCTTCAGCCATATTTATTCTAAAGGATTATTTTACCCGTATTTAGGTATTGTGCAACTTCCAGGTGGTCTGACCAGCGTATAAATATAGCTGGGTGGGCGGGCACAGCTCGACCAGCCTAACCAGTCCGGCCTGCAGGTAGGTCAAGCAGACCACACAGAAGACCAGTGTTCACGCTTTCAACGGTCCCCAATCCCTTCCTCTCCCCCAAACCAACCCTTAGGCCTGCCCCCCTCCCCCTGACCCTGCAGCACCCCCTGGAGCTGAAATCAGACAAGGATATTGTATAGAAGTATAGATCTATAGATGTAGAGAGTGTAATGTGATATCTCAATTCTCAAATCCAGGTTATGGACTTCAAACCAGTACAGAGGGTTCAGGGAGAGAGGGAGATTAATAGTCGAGAACGAATGGATTAAAGAAAAATGTGTAAAAGTACAGTGGTAATCATAAAACAGTGGAATGAACATCGTCTTCTTTCATTCTGTCTAGAAGGACTTTATTGCATGTAACTTATTCATTACTAAAAATATATTTCAAATAACAATTAAAATTAAAAAATAAGCTATAGTTCTTGATTAACAATAGAGAAAGGAAACCAACTAAAAAGAGTAATGACGTGAATAAGAGTAAAAGTGTAGGTATTAGCTTTAAAGTTAAAAACCAAAGGAATTGAGTCTTTGCCACAATTTTCCAATCCTTATATCTGTGCATTCTGATTGATTTATTGATTTATTGATTTATTTGATCTAACATAATTCACAGCAAATTCATATAGGGTTGCAAAGATATGGAGATAAAAAAATCAGAGTTTGTGGCAAAGACTCAGATCCTTTTTATGAAAATTTGTCTCAAAATACAAATCGATCAATTTTCAGTTAAGAAAATCACATAAACACTTAACAAAAAAGCTTCTGATCAAACAACATTGATTTTTTTATCATCATTAGGAAAGTGTTATGAAAATAGACTATTTGTACGTTTATCTGTGAGAAAGTGGGACCCCCTTTAAATGTGAATTTATGGAATTTAAAACAAATATTCAATAAATATTCCTATCTATCATATACATCTATAGATAGACAGCTTGCATATCTATCTCTATATCTATCTATCTATCTATCTATCTATCTATCTTTCTATCTACCTAACTGTGGAACAGATTTATTAATCAATCATCTGAGGTGTCCCGGGCTAGCCTGCAGGTCAGGTTAGGGTTGTCCAGGGCGGGAGCTACCTGACAGGGGTAATAAAATAACAATTATTTTCCCATGGGAGAAATATTTTACAAAAGCATAAATTTCAAAAATTATGTTTGATAATTATTTTTATTTTTATTACTTATCCATCCCTGTTAAAAAAGGTGGTTGTAGTGACACCTTAATTTTTATATTTTTAGATGAACACCTTGATATCTCAATCTTCTTCAATCTATTTATCTATTCATCTATTCTTAAACGTGAGATTTGTTGTAAATATTCCTTAAAATATCTTGACATATAAATCTCAGGCAAAGATGGACAATGGACATCTATATATATACTTGTCTGTTTGTATCCAATAAACGTCTAAACAGCTGAACCGAACGGGCCTAAATGTTGTGTGGAACCTCACATGACCCTAGGGAAGGTTTATGAATTATCAAAATTTCAAAAAGTTGCCTCCATCAAAATTTGATTTTTATTAAATTGGAAAATGCACAACATTTTTTTATAAAATCCGCGACATTTTTGGGGGGGTTTTGTTTTACAATGTGCAAAGAGGAAATATTCACAATTGAAATAGAAGATGGGCGCAAAGCCTAGTAACAAAAAATTGGACTAGAACTAGATCTAGAACTAGAACTAGAACTAGAACTAGAAATAGAACTAGAAATAGAACTAGAACTAGAACTATAGAACTAGAACTAGAACTAGAACTAGAAATAGAACTAAAAATAGAACTAGAACTAGAACTAAAACTATAGAACTAGAACTAGAACTATAGAACTAAAACCAGAACCAAAACTAGAACTAGAACTACTATGTAATATGTGTACATAATGTATTGTATGTATTGTATGTATTGTATGTAGTGTATGTAAATTGTAGAAATAACAAAACTTCAATTTATCAAAACTTGTTTTCGTAATTACTACTGAAAACATTTCATTTATTCTTTCAATGAAAACCTGAAAAATAATATCTTTGTTTTTCTTAATTTTCTTACTGTTCATGGTTTCTAATTATCCTATCTCCAGACAACCCCCCTCCTACCCCCTCTTAGGTCCAGCCTAAAGGCAATAATTAGAAAAGGGCATAGGCAGGCTTGGACAGGTTGCATATTTCAGTATAAACATGAAACTTTAAAATAAAATTAAATGTTTTAAAATATTCTGAAAGTTTTTTTTTCTTTCTATTTCTCTTATCCGTTTTAAGCCCACCCTCTAATTTTGGCCCACCGCAGCCTGAAGTATTGAGTCATTAAGGTAGTCTCATTATATACTCAGTAATTTGAATTCTACACACAGGGCTCATAATACAGACAAAAAAGTGAGAGCTTAGAAAATTTTAATAAAATGGAATTTTTTTACTTTTTAGGTTAATCAATTCTTCGCTATTTCAAATCTTTATGAATTCTTACTCAAATTTTTTACATCAGAGTTTGTAACAAAAAAGTATTTTTGTATTTGCAGCTAGTCTCGGAAGAAAAATGATTGAATAATCTGTTTAAATTTATTTTCTCCTTTTTTTAAATTAAGTTAAGGAAATGAACCCCTGTAAGGTTTTAGGCTTTTAATCTGATGTTTATGAAGAGTTGCGTTCGGACAAATTCTCGTAAAATATACACTGCCTTTAAGCTACTTCATAGAACCTATCCTTGGTTTGGGTCCATGGAACAATTCAGAAACGGGAATCTTTTTCTCTTGGACCTGGTAAAGTAGAGGTTTGGTGAGTTTTCTTTCGGAAAAATATACAACTATGGCAAAAAGGCAGTTTTAGTAGAGTCTGACTGAGAAACATGGTTTTGTACAGGACCGCCGCGCTAATTGTTCCCCACACCGAGCCATGACGGAGGGAAAAATGCGAAGTGTCGATTAGCGTGCCGGTACAACTAGAAAATGCGGGAACCAGGTGTACCGTTCCGCCTAGGCCCGAGGGCTAGGTGTAGCATATCTGGGTGGTCCTGGACAGAATACAACAACTCCAGTAGTAGTTCAACTCCTTCACAGCTAGGAGATCAAGAAGGAGTGAAAATTAAAACTCAAGAAAGAACATATGTGGTGTTAGAGTGATCTATATCTGATATAAAAAAGTTCATTAACACATATCAAACTCAACATATAAACCATGGGAAGTGATTGATAGATTATACCAAGATGAAGTTTGTGATTGCTTGTTTACTTGTTGACTTTGCAAAACTGGTTTATTGTAAACAAACCTGGTTGGAGCAACCTGGATACACGGAGGTGAACCCCGGAGGAGAAACCGTCCTAGGGTGCAGGGTATCCAACAAGAAAGGGGAGTGTAGGTGGGAGAGGAACTCCCTACCCGTAGGGGCGTACCCTGGCAAGTATGAGTGGGCGGGGCGACAGGAGGAGGGAGATTGCTCCCTAAGGATCCTGGAGGCGAGTACGGAGTATGATAATGGAGCCTGGGTGTGCCAAGTTACCGCCTCCAGTTTTATGGAGCGAGATACACTCATGTCGAAACCTGCAAACTTTATAGTCAGAGGTTGGTTTAATTAATCTTAAGTTATAATCAGAGCTAAAAGATATTTAATTACAATTAAATGAGTTAAATACTGTTCTAGAACCTGCAAACTTCATAATTCAGAAACAATTCAACTAATTAAATCTTAGTTCAAGGATATTTTTATAAACCAATGTTAATTATAACATTTTTAATCTTTCATGCGGGTTTGGCGCAAAAAAGTTTGGCATACCTGTATCGTGCCAGTTCTGAACCATACATATATATAATGTAGAGGCTAGAGAGCAAGACCCAGAAGAGAAGATAAAATTAACCTGGAAGATTCTCAGAGTTTCATTTCTTTTAAGTTAATTTAAACTTTCTTTCTAATCTTTCTAGATATTGGTTTCTGGGTGGGAGAGGGGGGAGAGAAGAGAAGGAGGCATGGGGGATGTAAAGTGAGCTTAGAAAACAGTAAAGAGGGGCAAGAGAAATGGAGGAAGCGGTTTGAAAAGACGGGTTTAAGGTTGGATGAGAAATGAAAAGATAAGATTGAAGTGGTTTATGGTTGAATGATTGGAGAAGGATTAGAAGTGCATGGTTCGAAAGAGTTGGAAAACAAGTTGGATTGCGGTAGACTTGAAGAAATATGGTCGGAAAGAAATTAGAGTAAGGTTGGATTATAAACTACCAAGCACAAATTGTTCTTGGATTAGCTCCCCACAGTTCAGCAAATGCAATGTATTTGCTATAAATCCTGGAGTAGAGCAAGTAGAGTGAACAAATACTAAACCCAAATAATAAAGTGAAGGCTGGGTTTGATATATTGGTGGTGGGAAGAAAAACTTTAAATAATTTTAAACAATGTTGAAATATTTCTCAATCTTTCTCCCACGTCCTTTTAAACCTTATATATTGGGTGAAAAAGAGGTCATGCTAAAAAATGTACATGAAGGAGGGGAGGAGGGGGGGGGGGAATGTAAGGATATATGTTTATAGGGTTCTTGAGGTTCTACACCGAACCTAACAGTTCAAAACAATCATGGAGTCAAGTCCAGTCTATCCAGGATACATGTTTATAGGGTTCTTGCGGTTCTACACCGAACCTAACAGTTCAAAACAATCATGGAGTCAAGTCCAGTCTATCCAGGATATTTGTTTATAGGATTCTTGAGGTTCTACACCGAACCTAACAGTTCAAAACAATCATGGAGTCAAGTCCAGTCTATCCAGGATACATGTTTATAGGGTTCTTGAGGTTCTACACCGAACCTTACAGTTCAAAACAGGCATGAAGTCAAGTCCAGTCTATCCAGGATATTTGTTTATAGGGTTCTTGGT